TTCCTTACAAGTTGAAGTAATATTTCAAAAAATGTCACACACGTCTGTGCATGCGTGTAACTTTTATGGTTGTTATTATATTTTAGTATTTTTTTTTTTTGGAAAATAATTTATGCTTGCATTGAAATTTTTCAAGTTACTCTTAAATAATGCTCCGATTTGTCGAGTTTGTTATGTTTCTGGGAAGCAATATAAAATATCACACAGCTGCTAAAGAGTAACAGTTTAAGCAAAATATAATATTTAAATGTTTACTTATTATCATCATATACATATATATACATAAGTTTGTCTTGAAATTTGTCATTTGGGGTACGAGAAATAATAGTTCATTATAAAAATCGCTTACAGGTACACAGCTATTTTTCGGCAACAATTTAATCATAGTTATTTAATGAAGGTGAATGTATGTAAAATATGTATTTAAAATATATTAGAAAATATGTCATAGTTGGTCTATTCCATTTTGTCTCAACAGAATGGAGCTTGTAATGCTCAAAGATTACCCAACGACCCATTTCAACGTGCGCTAAGATAGAATAACATTATTAAGATAGAATAAGATGTAATTATCTGAAGTACCACAATTTTGTCCTTGTAGATGAGACTTTTTCACACATTTTGCTATCTATAGGGCTTTACTTTAGACCAGGAGAAGAAAACTGCAGGAAGAGTCCAGCACTTTCACTACGTTGTTAAGATATTAACCTTAATAAGATCTATCTTTCTATAATATAGCAAAACTCTGTCTCTGTCTACAATACAATACACTTATTTGACATATTTTTCTTGTCTACATAGCTTTAAAAAAATCCCGACCCAGAATGAGTTTTCTTTGGTCATAGTCTTACTTATGGTATAAAAGATATGTTACAGTTCCAGTGTTTCATTGTAAGCGTTTATTCCAACTTAATAAAAATAATAATAAAAATTTGTGGTGACATCTATTACTTACTTACTTACTTACTTATGGAACAATTTTGTTCCATATTGCCTTATGTATGTTGAGATGCGAAATCAATCAGCCTTCTTTCATTATCAGAAGTTTTTGTGTGAAGTTGAACTTTCCGACAGTAACGCCAAAGATACAAAGAAGGTATCAGCTTGTTCAAGCTGTTCATAGAAAATTTCCTTGGTGTCGTCATCTTTATCTTCTGTCGGAGGAAGACCACAAATTAGAGTGGTGAAGAAATATTTTGCCTTGATACGGATTTTTGCGAGCCTTTCGTTTATTGGTGAAAATGTTGAGACCAAATTTCTCAAGTTTCAAATTACCGCAAATCCGACTCCAATTTCGTGTTTTGTTGCATGGCAGCTATAGTAGATGTCACAATGTTCTCGTTTAAAGAATCCTTTTCCCGTCCATTGCATTACCTGTAGGGCGGTAATGTTAGCCTTAAATTTCTTAGGGACATTAACCCTGTAAAGAGTTCGAACATTCCAGGTGCATATTTTTAAATCGTGTTCCTTAAAACGTTTACGATTGTCGTCATCAGTAGATCGTTTCCTTATCCGAGGCTGCCTCTCTGTTTGCATTGAATGGTGTTTTTAAATGGTGGGTTTCAAGTCCGACGCATAACCTCATATATCCATGAGGAAGGATTTCGCTGCACATATTAGTTCACTACGCACGGATGATTGTAGGTATCCAGAGGGGGCCACGTGGAGGCTGTGTGTCAACTTAGAGAGAACAGTGACATGGATCGTGTTGGTATTTACCATGTTAAATACAATCAGATACTTTACCTTGTACTTATGTTCAATCCCATCCCCTCCGGTGGCATCTATTAGCATATATAATTTTATAATATAAAATATATAATTTTATATTTATATATTATATATATAATATATAATTTTATTACAGCGATCTATTTGGCAAAATACGTTTATATATCAATGGATAACTACTCATGCCGGTCAAATTAAAACAATCTGAAGACTTTGAGATGTTTTCATAACACATAACGAATAAAAAGTACATCATCACATCACAGGTTGAAATATAACAAAACAAGTACCACAACCAATAATATTGTCTGGTACACAGATGGCTTTAAAACTTAACATGTATTGGGATGGGAAGTCTACAACTCGGAGAGCCAAATATACATTCGTTAGACTTGGTACAATGGCTCTGATATTTTAAACCGAAATCTCTGCCATAAATATATACTAAATATGCTAATGAGCGTGCCTCAAGACAACCATATGGGCCAGAGCGAAATCTTGTAGTCAACAGAAATCATTTCAGTAGTATAAACAAATCAAACTTCACTAATAAAGGTGCCCTACTGCACCAAATTTTATTTCCTGAACCACTCAGAAAATAAAGCGCAAAAATCTCCTTAATCTGGACAGATCGGACTTAAAAACAAATTCCAAATAAGTATAAAGTACGGCTATGACTTCCAATAACCATCGAATTTAGATTATGTGTGAAAGACGCCGAAACATATTTGCAGACATTTGGAGCGTTTTCTGTTCTTCATCTATTGAAGATGAAGAGAAAAGAATTTTCCACAAAAACTTTATACACGAATCAGAGTGTATAAATCTAACATCGATCTGGAAAATATAAAAACTTTTCTGGATGCAGCCGAAGTGACAAAAGTCTTTCGGTTATTATGGATAAGATAGGATACAATACCCCATAGTGACACAGTGTCACGAACAGTTAATGTTTTCTTAACCAATCAAATATACTATACTAATATACAATATTAGGCTTTTTCTTTTGTAAGCATGTCACAAAAGAATATATATGATAAATACTACTTTTAATGGCAACTCTGGACAAAATGGAAATTTTGTTAGGCTTATATATACAGTGTTTTAAATAAAGTAAAAGTTTAAAAATTAGTAGAAAATATCTGAAGAAAATATATATTCTTAATTACTTTCTCAGCTTTGTTAATGAAACTACAGTTTAACATCACATAGATAATCAAAGGAAACAGACATCATTGTTGGACCAGCCGTACTTTGTCTTGAAAAATTAATTTTTAATTAATTTTTTTAACTTTTTAAAAATTTTAAAACAATCTCGTTATCAGCGAAAATGTGATCACTTGAAAAATATAATTTTTAACAAAATTATTAATAGTCACTTTAAAAGTTTTATAGTTTAGTTTGGTACCATCTGTCACAACCATGGGGCATCGCAAAAATAAGACATCAGGTAATGATTTCTTAAAATTAAAGAAAAATATATATAGATGAATCTTATTTACATGTAGAAGTTTGGAATCTTATTAGCTATATATTTATAAGTTTTACATATTTATCAGTTCTTTTAGTGGTAGGTATTTCTATATTTATCGGAAGTGGTGGATATTATATTTATTTTAGTTGTATGGAATACCAATAAAAATATTTATTAATTTAAATTAATTTAAATATAAATATTAATTTATATTTAATTTAATTCTGTATATAATATATACATACTATTAGGAAAAGAATGAAAACCCTTAGTTCCTAAAGCTCAATTTATAATATATTATTATTATATATTAGGTATAATCAATCGATATCTTTAATTCTGCAAACTTTGAAGATGTATTCTCGCAAATTCTATATAATGTTATTTCTGATAAATAAGATCATGACTAGATTTATTTCTCCTTCCATTTCTGTAATCTGATATTGCAATATTGTACAATCATTTTTGTATCGTAATTCATCAGTCTAAAAATCGGGTATATCATATTATATTATATTACACCAAATATTGTATATTTTTATTCTTTATATATAAATATATAAATTATTTATACATAATTATTTCATAATTTATAATTATAATTTATTTATTTATATTATTATATATTATCATATTATACTATACACAATGTAGTAGTTTTAATACTAATCTTATTAAAAATTCACTTATTATAATAACTATGTTAAAGAAACTAAATATCAAATACTTTCGTTTTTTTCCATTATAACCGTTCTAAATTCATATGGTTCTATACATTCAAAAAATATTATTTTCTGATTGCATTCTATATGTAACATATTATTATTATATATATGTAATGAAAGTATTGTTTTTTTTTGCAGGTGATCAGGAATCTAAGGATGAAGAGAGTAAGATTGTGAAAGAAACTTATATATATTAACTGATATAGTTAATCTTACTGATTTCATTTTTTTTATAGCTGAAAATAATGCGCTGGGGAGTAAGTCGTTTTGTAATTTTTTAATCTTTTCACTATAACCATAACGAATATATATTTTTATAACATTTCAATTCATAATTATTTTAAATGAAAAACTTAGTTTTACATAAGATACTAACTGAAGAATTCTTAAAAAAAATTATGTCAACACCATTATTGTTAAAATCACAGACTACAATATTACCTGTGGAACAGAAGTATAATTATTTCCGTAATATCTTGTCCATTATTTAACATATTTATTGGAATTTCTTGTTTTCATTAGCAATGATTCTGCAACTATTCGTATTTTACATAGTGGAAAAACATAAATTTTGGACTTTAGAGAATTAAAAGTGCAGATACGACCCCTATCACACACTGCCACAGAAAGACCTACAAAAATAATTCATTCATCTTTCAAGTTTTGCTACGTAGCAATTTATTGGTAAACTGCTGAGACCATAATGGTTCTTATACCGGGTAAATCTAATTGCTACTTCTTCCTAAATACTAATTTCAATTTATTCAAAAATTTTCGAACAACTCTAATCAATATATTAAATCTAATATCTAATAAGAAGAGATTAATGTCAATTTACAATGTCACGATGCGGTACCAACAAAATCCCTCTGTTAAAAAACAAATATAAAAAGGGTCTTCAAATCAAATGTGGATCATCTTGCAACAATAGATAAGTTATGATAATGAATAATATGGGAGTATAGAATACTTTAGAAATACTTTAGAGAATAGGATAATACATTATCCAAAGATTATTTTATAATCTATGATGTAAAGACATGTTAAAATTTCTAAAACAATCGGAATCGTAGAAAAGGTGGACAATTGCAGCACTGTCTTTTCAAAATACCTCACATATTTTGTGAGAGAACTGTTTTCATTGGATGTAAAAGCCTCTATACGAACGGTTTTTTATTCATATAAAACAATATAGTTAGGATACCTAAAACCATTTATCTAAAAATGTTGTATGTCATTTTCTATAAAAGCTTGGTGTTTTCTAATCTTAATTAAAGAACTTTGAAAAACATCCTTTAGTATTATCTCAAACAGTCAGCAAGCGGTAACGATTTGAAATAATAGTACAACTCATAGCACGCAGATGGTCATCCAAAGGACATCTTTCTAAAAATTTAGCTCTCATGGCTACTTCTTAAGCTTCTTACTTCAAATACATATACGACTTAAACAGAAGAATTTGTGTTTCTTGCATCAAATATATAAATAAACAGTATCTGCACTCTAACAGTTGATTCTATAACAAATTAAAACAAAATTTCTGAATAGACTTTTCCTTGTAGTACTTTTACTTTTACTTGTGTACTTTACTTATTGTTTAATGAAACTCTCATAGAGATTTTAACAAGACTTATTTTATATAAGAATCGTTTTTCTCGAATTCCTTAAACACTTTTCAATCACATTCTTTACTTTATAGATACTGAACTCAAATAGCATGAAGCTCTTCAGGTTCTTCACAGGAACTCAAAAAAGTGTGGAGTTCTTAAATGTCTTTAGTTTCTTTAGTCTTCTTTATTAGTCGAGAAGTTTTTGATAATAAAAATCAATTCATTAGTCCATAATCGATTATTTGAATTGGTTCAAAATAAAATAAATAAGCAAATTGAATTGATGATATCGAACTTCTTCTTGAGTATCTTTAGTTTCTTTAGTTCACTTTATTAGTCGAGAAATTTTTGATAGTAAACATCAATTTATTAGTCCATAATCGATTGACTGAATTTGTTAAAATTTAATAAATAAGCAAATTGAATGAGGATATTGAACTTTAAAACAATTGAAATAAGATTAAAGCTGAAACTGAACTTACTGATGACATTTTTTGAAACGAACCAATGACGCCTTTTTCAACATTTTAATTAATATATTTTCCAACAAGCCTTCTGCTATCCTAATAAATGGGTTATGGTAATTTAACAAACAAAAAACATGCTAACAACGCCTAGACGGTCCAGCTTCTTCAGTGGCAAGCAATGTCACAAATAAATCTTATTAAAAACCGTGACAAAGGACTGATGGTGGCATATCAGCAGCATAAGTAGTGCGGCACATGTTAATCAATCGCTGGCACAGTCGAGTTCTTGTGTTATTATTACATTTAAACACTAATTTTTAACACGAAACAAATGCAGTTTAATAAATGCAGCTGTTCCCAGCTTAATCCATACTCCAACTAAAACACTGGCAACCCCAAGCGACAGAGGTCCTGGCAAAGGTTAAAAATAGTCGCATGCAAGGTGCTCGTTCACAGCATACTCGCTTTCAAAAAATCATTTAAATTATGTGACAGAGTTTTCATGTTTTTGCTTAATTTTATAGTAATTTTTATGTGCTGCGGAACAAGCAGGATAACAGACAATATAAAAAAGAAGACAAGGACTTAAAAAATATTAAACATAGAACAGGAACTCAATTGCCCGTATAACGTAAATGAGTAGAACTATTGAAAAGACTATTGATTATTGTGTGATTGAAAATTGGATCTTTTTCATTGTCGGCCTCGAAATGCATATATCCTGATATTAACAAGATATTTTGCTACTGATTAAAAAAATTTGTTGCTTTTTGTCTTCTAACAGTACACACAAAGGGTACGTGTGTAATGTGAGCTAAAAAACCAATAATGTCTAATGCAACATAATTTCGTTTACAGAACGGACAAAAGACAAATCCGGAAATGTCCTGCGTGCGATTTATTGTATCATTTTCTGTTATTTGTAAAGAATGCTGAGTCCTTTTTTATTATATGTACTCTTAATTTCATAAAA